TTGTCAAGGAAACTTTCAATTATAAAAAAAAATTAGATATACATTTATATATACATATATATATATGAATGACACATAAGGAAAGCATACCATAAAAACTTCCAACTAGAAACTCCAAGAAAAATAGACAGCAAGCAGGTGAAGAGACTGTTCTGGCATTTTAGGCAATTGTTCTAATTTTAACAGCTACACTTCACAGCGGAGCAAAGGATAATTCTATGTGAACTCACAGCCTGCCTACTGACACTAAGTCAGGCTCTCATGAACAGCAGGTGACTTTACCCTACTGTTTCCTAGCTTAGCAGCCTCTATACTGTCTGTGTTTACGAAAAAGTGCACGTGGAAAAGAGGAATCACCCTGCGGTGGACTTACTCCGCTGGCTCTAAATCCTTCTGTGTGCTGGTCTACACCAGCACAGTTGGAAAAAAAAAAAATCACTAAAAACAGCCAAACATACAATTCTTCATCTGACTGCCCATATTCTTCCACATCTACTTTCAAGTGAGTAACTGAAGAGCAACTGCCCAAGGTCATGCAGAGGTCTGGCCTAAGAAAACAAAGCACTAAGTTCAATTTTCAAACACATGGGTTTTCTGGCCCATGTTGGAAAACTTCAGCCTGGGAAAAATGTACTTCAGATTTGAGCTAAATGGACAATTAGGGACTCTTTTCCACTGTTACATTTTTCAATCTCTCACATTAAAAGATGTTTTCTGGGCAGTAAGATAAATCACTTATTGGCAAAATCTCAGCCTCCTTTTACCCTAAATCCAGTTAACATTTATTGTAGCTACATTAAAAGTCCACAGCTAACCATGACAAGCAATGCGGTGAAGCAGCGAGATGGAGTTAGTTCCAAATGCACTGTGTTTACATCCGTCTTTACACCCGGAAGTTAGGGTGCTGTGCATGCTTCTTTCTGTGCCTTGTTTATTAAGAACCCCAGTCCGGCTTCCTTTATTTACAGCAAAAGCACTGAGTTCCCGTCATGTACCTGGAAAGCAAACTAGGAACATTTGGCTTTCAGAGGGCCAGCACTTTCTTGAAGATGGCTTCCAGTAGATACCGTCTACATTTGTGTACTGGAAAGACAAAAGGGGCAGTTTTCTGTGTTGCTGCCAGTGGCTCCACAATTTACAGTAGCTAGTGCTGGAGAACTTCCCCGAGAAGAAAACTGCGGGTCCCACGCTGCTCTGCTGTAGTTGGTACAGAAAGTGGGTGTTTTCTTCTTTTTCTTCTGTTCCCCTCCTGCCCTCCTCCTCTTCCTCCTCACTTACTCATCTTTTCTGTTATAATTTTCCTGTAAAATCCATGTAATTTTATAATCCTGTTTATGAATGATTCCAAAGGACTGATGACAATGAATTCAGCAGATGTGTAACTTCTGCGCATCTGATTCTCTCTAGTGTTGTCCACAGCATCGATACAGAGGATAGCCAATTCATCTGGGTATACTCCCAGATCTGACAAGTTCATCCTAAATTCATCCTGAAAATGCTTAGTAAAGCACTTAACTTGAGAGGGAAGAAAAAAACTGAAACCAAATATAAATCCGAACACCACACAAAGTTATGCACTCCTGAATAACAATGCCCACTTGGTCTACATAGTGGAGTCCAGGCTCACCTAGGCTATCTAGTGAAACTGTCTGAAGAAAGCAGAAGGGGAAACAAAACTCCTGAAGAGACCACATCAAGTCCTGGGGAAAAAACAGGAAGAAAAGACTTCTGAGGGTAAGCCTAAGCTCAGCCCATAGTTCTTGTGCTGTCCTTGGTGAGAAAACTCATGCCTGGGTCTTTTCCATAAAACCCACTGCAGGTATACCAGCACACACTGCTTCTAAAACTCACATCATGTACGGAGGAGTGAGTCTGCCATATAAACAAAGTGTGCCTTACTCCTGCTTGTGGGAAAAAACAAAATTCCTATAAACAGAACTAAACTGACAGCCAGAACGGGACTCACCACAGATGAAAACACATTTACAAAATGTTCTAGAACTTCAACATCGTATCCGTGGCCTCAGCAGTTCAGCAGTTATAATCAGCAGACAACCCCATGCAGGCATAAGACAGGCACTGAGTCACGCTGGCTGTGTTCTAACTTGGGGCTGCTTAGGCTCTCAAAGACTCACTGGGCAGCAGAACCTCCTTCTTTCCTACCCTTTTCAGCTCTCCTCACTGACCCTTCCCAGCCCCCACCCTTGTATTCCTTTAGAACCTCAATACCCCTTACATATAGGCCCTAAGTTACTCCCTCCGAATCTTCATCTATCACACTGGGTACTCTAACTTTACAAATAGCTTAGTTATAGCGTTCCATGTCCCTCGCGCCAACACCCACTATGTAGGAGGCTATGCAGGTAAAAACGCTAATCACGTTGTTTTCTGTCTATTCACAGTTGGATTTCCAGCTGATTCAAGGCTTATTTTCCCCACTACCTGCAAGTCGGAATCATTAGATATAATGACTGACTGCAAATCTTAAATACACTGATCATGATAGGAAGGCTACAATTTAGTCTCATGCTTAGGGTTCATCACTCATACACAAGTACGGATTGTAATCCAACAAAGGATGACAGGCCACAAGCTTTCTCTCCGTAGGGCCATGTCCCTATATACCTGTTTAGTTCCCCATGGAACACAACTGACTGGGTCTCAGCAGGCCGTTGCCTAGGAAGCCAAACAACTAACCATTACTTCACAAGCCTACAATGATTCAAATGTTTTCCAAAAAGATTCAAGGCCAATACTGAAGAGAGCCAATGATTACCAATCACTCCGTAAGCCAAACGGTGACAGCATTAGGACCAACTCTAAAAAGTTAGACATTAAATTCCTGTATGGCTTTATGTTCTTGCTCTGGTGTTTACTGCAGCCTAATATTTAGGGAGAGCAGCCTACTTCTCTTTTTGAATAAAATGTAGTGTAATCAAGAGGAGCACATACCGTTACTCAGCTATAAGGCCCAACAGTGACCAAACCTTCCCAAGTCACATCAGAAAAACATTCCAAACAATTATGACTATACCATTATAACAGTTTATAAATACTATATTCTGCAACTCCTTAGATAAGTATGCTAAAAACCAGTAATGCCTTATTCCAAAATTGTAAAAACAATTTACTAATGGAAAAAATGATTTGTTCATTCAACAAGTGTATTGAACTATTAATCTAAATGTTAAAATTTTTATAGTTTGAGTTTGACATCTCCAAAAAAGTTTATAAATCATTTAAAACTGACTCAAGTTGCCATGAGTCTTTCTTACAATATTCCAAAGTCAATTAACATTTTTCTGGTAACTAATTTTAAACAACTTATTAAAAAACTTCCACGATTAAAAATACTTCTAAGGAAAACAAAGTGAACTTTTTTCTTCATAACTTCAATGTAAGTGCCTACTCAAAATTCACATACATCACATATGGTATATTTGACAACTGCCAAGATCCTTTCAAAAGATCTGACATAAAGAAAGGGGCATCAGCAGACTGGCCGTAGAAAGGCTAGCACTACAACAGTTTAGAAGTAGACACTAACAAGAGGAGCAGGTGTAATTCATGAAGTACATTTGCCCTTCATTACTGCTCTACAGTACAAAAAGACCATGGAAAACCAATTAACACTACCAATCACCTAAATATCAGAATTGCCGACACCTTCTAAGAATTAATACCTACTTAAATCTGGGAGGTACCCCAAACAGACCTTTCATGACATGGCACACAAAGCAGTTTTGTTCCTTCTGAGACTACCTGGTTGGGTGCTGCCTTGGTCACTAATGGATTAGGTCACACTGTGGTGTGAGGACTTTACCCCCAAGAACTAAAGCAATAAAGTAAAAACACTCCACTGTCTTTATGCTCGGGACATACCACACTTCATTAAAAGCCGATTCTAACTGGTTCAATATTTTAAAGGGGAAAATGTTAATACAAATTCATAACCAAACCATTAAACAGGTTCAGACTTTAAACAGTAATGTGCTATAATGCTTAAATATGTCTCTCATAAATCTTTATGTCTCATATTTGTAAGAAAACGTCTAAGTGCTCTGAATCATATCCCAAATTACATATAACAGATTACCTAACTATATGCTAATACAGACTAGTTCTATGGGATGCCACTTAGGGTACACCAGTAACTATAAATAACTACACATTATATATTTGTTTCATCACTGACCTCCTCCAATTAAACTTATGACTCAATTGCTGCAAATAACTACTTAAAGCAATATTTCTCAGTATGTAATGTCTGAATTTGATATATTTTAGGGCTTGGTTAGCAAACATTTCAACCTCTCATCTCCCAATCAGTTCAACACATTGCTGATCCCAACAGAAAACCAATACTTAACACTGCATTTCCCTCCCTAATACCTCTTCCTTGTTTCCAAAATTCTGAAAACACAAGACATTTTCATTAATTTCCTCCTTTCACATCTAGCAAAATGAGAAGACTTTTATTCAGCTTAAGATTAAACATAAAAGTTTAGTGTTTGTTTTGTTTTTAAAAAAATCAAAAATGGCATTCCCCATCCCACTTAAGAATTTATGAACGATCAACTAAAGTAAACTCAACTGGTCCAATTCTGACGAATCATATGGGTAAATAATACATCAGTCAGTCTAGCAAAGGTTAAATTTACATTTTGCAGTCTGATTCTATGGAAGTGAATCTTTAAAGCATGAATGAAAGATTGAGTTCTTACTGCTCTAGTTTAAAAACTGCCAAATTACAGAAACTAAAAGTCCACTTTCCCTCCACAGGGCTCTGAATAGGATTCAAATGCCACAGAATGAATTAGACTTATACATTTACTTTGGAAATTTAGAGACACCTGCCAAATTAGAAAGCAACTGCGTAAGCATTCCAGTGACAGTTAACGGCTACCAAACAGCAGAAAAGTGACCTTTAGTAGTCCACAGTCATCGGTGCCACAAGATGTCAAAGTCTAAGCCAAGATCTGATGGTTGAGTGATGTATCCATCAATCAAATCAGAAGGTTGGACTCTGGTTTTCGGGGGCTGCTGTTGTTTTCCCATGAAACCCTCACAGCCACACCCGGAATGTCTTGATGAGGACGACAAGAGCAGTCATCCACAAAGACCCAGGCACTCAGGTATAACTGTTTGGAGCCTTTTGCTTCCTGTTAACTATAGTAATAAAAGGTTCGGGGCTTTGCTAAGAAAAGTGACCTACTGCTAACTGCTTCCTTCCAAGACTTGAGGTTTCTAGACCTACAGCCACTATGGGAAGCTGGAGATCCAATGAAGCAGAGTGACCAACTCAAAAGCAAGAGAAGAAGCAAAGGCTATACAACCTGCATATAACCTACAGGGTCTGCCCCCTTCCCGCCCCACCCTTCCCACCCTCCCCACCCCACCCCCGCCACCCCATTTAACCAGATGACAGTCCAGTCCCAGCCATGTATGCCATGGCCTTCCCTGAAGTCTATACCTCCTGTTCTCAAAACAGCCTCTCTGACCTTCAAATCTAAAATGTTTAAATTAAGGGCTTACACAGGCACTCCATAAACCACCTCAATTTTATCAATAGGCTTTCTGAAAGTTATTTCTCAACTGACTAAATGACTAGGACGTGGCTGATAGTCTGCTACATCTTCAGAAAGCAGGAAGTTAGTAACAACCACGTTTACATATCCTTTCCTTCAGATGGCAATAAGATCAACTACCATGTGCAGCCTTCCCCACACATTTCAGATCCTCAAAATGTATCTCTTTAACATGCACCGTCTTAGTTTGCTTTCTGTTGTGATAACCACCATGACCAAAACCGACCTGGAAAGGAAAGCGTCCCTCCACCTTACAGTTTACAGACCATCATCAAAGAAAGCTAAGGCAGGAACTCAGGACAGGAACCTGGAGGCAGGACCTGAAGCAGGGACTGTGGAGGAGTGCTGCTTATTGGCTTGCTCTTCAGTTTGCTCAGCTTGCTTTCTCATAAAAACCAGGACTACCTGCCTAGGGAGGGCATCACTCACAGTGGGCTAGATCCTCCACATCAACCACCAATCAAGAAAATGCCCCACAGGTAGGCCCAAGGACTGGTCTGATGGAGGAAATTCCTCGGAAGAGGTCCCCTCTTCCCAGGTGACAATAGTTTGTGTCAGGTTGATACAAAGTAGCCAGCACACACTCCATTTCTAAATAGGCAATTTCCCCAGCACTTACCTCACTATTGAGCTATTCTTAACCCAAACATTTATTTAACAACTCCACTAAGGTCACTATTTAAAAATCTATTTGTACTCAAATAAAACTGCCTAGTATTCAAATCATCAACAAATTGAGATCCTCTGCCTAGGGATTCCAAAGGCTCTAAGATAAATACATACAGAAAACGTCCAGGCATGTTGTCACATGCCCATAATCACAACACATAAAAGGCTGAAGCAGGAGGCCCATGACAAGACCCTGTCTCAAGAAAATAAAATAAAAAAGTTTATAAAGCATAGTAAAGAATATTAAAATACAGTTCAGGTTGGTCCCAGGAGCACAGACTTGTACTCCAAATACTCTGACAACTGAGGCATGAGAGTTGCGAGTTCAAGGCCAGCCTGAACTACAGAGTAAGTTCAATACCAGCTTATGTCAGCTTATCAGTGAGACTACTGTCTCAAAATGAAAAATAAAAACCGGTCTGGAGATGGTTCAGTCGGTAGAGCATAAGACTCTTAATCTCAGGGTCGTGGGTTCAAGCCCCACGTTGGGCGCCAGATGTTGATGTAACCAACAGTCTTATTAAATAAGAAACACAGAACCAATGTAAAAGAGAAAGCCGAGAGGTCAGAGCTCAGAGCTAAAATCTCACCCTTCCTCCTGCGGTGTCCCAGCTTCCCAAAAGAGAGCTATATCCTGTCTGTCCGTCTTTTTATAGTATTTTGTTCTGCCTTCCCATTGGTTGTAAACCCAAACACGTGACTGCCTCATCACTGTCTGAATGTACAGCCCCCCAGGTCTTAAAGGCATATGTCTCCAATGCTGGTTGTATCCCTGAACACACAGAGATCTATGGGATTAAAGGTGTGTGCCGCTGCTGCTGCTGCTGCCGCCGCCGCCGCCGCCGCCGCCGCCGCCGCCACCACCACCACCACCACCACCACACTCTTGCTATGGCTCTAATAGCTCTGACCCCGGGGTAACTTTATTTATTAACATACAATCAAAATCACATTTCAGTACAATTAGAATACCACCACAAACAGCTGTCTTTCTGAAAACAGAAAAGAAAGTGTTTATGGTAGTTAAAATATTCCCTAATGTTTTAACACCCCTGGTGTTAGCCCATGCCTTTAATCCCACCACTCAGGAGGCAGAGGCAGGTGGATCTCTGAGAGTTTGAGGCCAGCCTGGTCTATAAGAGCAAGTTCCAGGACAGCCAAGAACAGCCACACAGAGAAACCCTGTCTTTGGGGGAGGGGGAAATCTCTAAACATGATGAGCGACAAGTCAGCAACCCAGTTTCCAGAAACATTCTGAACTAGAGACCTGTCTCCCCGACAGCGGGGAATGGCTGCATTTCCATCACAAATAAACTGTGAATGTGGTATCTGATACCAGCACACACTGGAAGGTAAGCTCAAGGATAACAAAATCCGACCCACTAAAAGTTGAGAATGAAGCGAGTTCACCTCATTTTCCCAAGGCCATCACCTAGTTAACGATGACATAAGGGTGAGAATAGCCCACGTCTCTGTTCTCCAAACACTTAGTTTAGCGAGAACATATCACTTATCCTCACTCTTAAGCTATACACAGCATTTATTTCAAAATGGCTATTCGAATATCTTGAAAATTATACTTCTAAGACCACCCTCCAAATGTGCTCTTGAATCTCCTAAGTGCATTCTCACACTCCTAATCACTAAAGACTTAAGACTGGCACAATATTCTATGAGTTATTTCGGAGGAACAAAGAAAACTGAACACAAATCCTTAAAAAGAAAAAAATCCAGGAAATCAATATGCTTAACCAGCTTAAGGGTTTTGGTTTCTCCTTCCCAACAAGCAAAAGAGACAAAAGATTCTTTACACCTAACTGCATGACTACAACAGACACACACTGTCCACTTAACCCACACCAGCCCAGAAGGCACTTGCCCAGCAGGCACCCAGTTGGAAGCCCTCAGTATAGCAGACAAGTTGAAAATGCGGCTGAAGAAAGCATCCTTCTACAGAGCTACCCATTAGTCTCAGTACCACTGAACTAAGGACACACCAGACGCAACAGCGAACAAGGCCAGACACAGCACTGTGCCTCTGGGATGCTACCACAAACTCTCCAGGTAACGAACTTGTTTCAAGCACAAAAACCATGCTGCTCATCTCCTCCAGTGAGATGCATGTCTCCTGGAGGTTGTCTCTAATGTGGTGCTAGACTGGCACTCCATTTCTCACCCTCTGCTGCCTCCACCACTCCACAATGTTTGACACTCAAAATGTGATCCGAGTCAGACATCCTTCCAATGAGGAAGAAAATATGTCCTGAGCTCTTCAGTGAAAGGTGCTAAAATAGGCCCACCAGTGACCTAGGCACTGTTATCAAGAGCCAAGACACCAGGATGTAAGCAATTAAAAAAAGCTAAATGTGCCTGCCTCTAAAGATCTACATTCAAATCTAAGCTTGGTATTTTAAGACTTTATCTCTATAGACCTTTGTTTTCTTATTTCTAAAATGTGAGTAACAGTGCCTTCCATTAAGGAACAATGGGGTGACCAGCCACAAAGGAAGCTCTTAAAGACAGCTTTGTTCATTACCACTGCAACAAAAAGTATGATGCTATCACAGTACAGTAAATGTCATTAAAATTTGGTGCTACATACACTAGAGCCGATGCTGAAGAGAATGAATGCAGAAGGTATGAGAGAAATGGAGAATGCCATCTACATCTTAAAAGAAAGAAACCATATGAAAAATGAACAGAGACATTAGCTATAAACTGGGTCTGGGGCTACTTTTCTTTGACATAGGTGGAGGGCTCTTTGAAATCATTTAAAATTTCAACATTTTGTTTTCCATTTATAAGTTAAAAGATTGTTAAAGAATGGCCATAATTCTACAGCTCAAAATTCTGTAATTGGTATGAGAACTACATAAAAGAGAAATTAAAACATAGCTTACAGTCGAGGCTGGAGAGATAGCTCAGCAGCTAAGAGCATTTGCTGGTCTTCCCGAGAACACAAGTTCAATTCCCAGCTCCCAATCTGGTGGTTCACAGCCACTTCCAACTCCAGCTCCAGGGGAATCTAATAACCTCCTGTGGACTCAAGGGTACATGCACATACCCATACAGAACACATACCCACAAAGATCCACACATGTACAAGTAATTAAAAATAAAAATAAATCTTTTTAAAAATAAAATAAAAAAGTTGGGTGATAGTGGCACACTCCTCTAATTCCAGCACTTGGGAGGCAGAGGCAGGTGGATCTCTGTGAGTTCAAGGCCAGCCTGGTGTACAGAGCAGGTTCCAGGGCAGGGTTATTACATACAGACACCCTGTCTCAAAAAAACCTAATTAATTAATTCAAATAAAATAAAAAGATACTGCTTACAGAATGTCTTCAAATCTAAAAACCCTAGCTGTCCAGAGCCATGGAAAGTCCTATGGCTGGAGCAGGACATCCAGTGAGTAAGGAGAGAGGATGGCAACTGTTAGCTTTGAATTCTCTCCCATTCTCTCCAAAGGGGGTGCTCAACAGCTCTTCAGTGGGAATGTGACATCATCAAACATGAAGAGCATCTCAAAAAACATGACATGAAGGAACGTCAAAGTGAGCAGAGTGAACTGGAAAATGGAGACTAAGGAGTGGGGATAAACAAAGGACTAAGAGGTGGGACTCAATGATGCCGAGTGTGGCATGGGAAATGGGATCCGTAGAGAGGACTTTTAAGTATCCGAGTTCTTGACCCAAGTGTTTAGAGTAAATAGATTCATTCTCTTGGGAAAGCCCTTAGATCTCACTTTCTTCACAAAGCTTTCCTGTCTTGCCAGTCTACTATCCTCTAATCCTAGACTCTGATACTTCTTTTCTTTAAAATTCCCAGGTGACTCTAACATCTCCAGGACTGAGGACCACTGAGAAGCAAAGCAGGCAGGAAACACTAACAAGCTGCAATCAACTAATATGACATCTGATTAGGCCAGAAGTGATAGGAGAGGACTCTGGGGTGCCAGTGAGATGAACCAAAGGAAAGGCTAAAGAAGGCCACCTTTTCATGGACTGACAGGAAAGAGGTAGGTATGGCTAAGTCAGTACTGAGTAGAAAAAGTACCTACTCAGCTCCACTTCCCCACTTAAGAACCTGACTCCAATTCAATGACAAGTCAATCCACACTGCCACCAGCACTCAAAAGTTTCCACACAGTGAAAGGACCATCCAAGTCACTTCACGTATTCACTTATTCCTAGCAAGGAAATAAAATTAACAGTACATGTTGGACTTTTCATCATCGTGACAAACACCACACAAACAAAACACAGCTCAGCTTCTGAGGTTTGATCCACTATGGCTAGGAAAGCATGCCCGACAAGGAGCTCACATCACGGTACCCAGGAATCAGAGAAGGAATAGACGAGGCAGTAGGCTTCAACAGTGTATCCCAGTGACCTACCCTCCAACTGAGCCCCATTTCCTAAGTTTCCATCACTTCTCAAAACTGTACCTCCAGCTGGAGGCCAAGTATTCGTTTGACTCACAAACCTGCAGGGGACATTTTATATTCACACCGTAACAAAAATCTGACCTTCATTACAACTTGTTTCATTTACTAGTTTTCATTCTTGCCATAAACACCGAGAGAGTGTTTCACCACATGCCAGTCACTGGGGACATGCACAGTACGGCTGCTGCTCTGGAAGAAGCCGGTAACTGGGAACGCGGGCACACTTGGCATTTTAAAATCAAATCTGATAGATGCTGTTAAAATCCGGGAGTGATAAAAGAGACAGCAGTATCAAACCTTTTTGTAGGAATGAGAGACTACTCACTTTCACCAGAACCAGAGGTGGGGGTGGCTTTACCCATAAAAATCATTCAAGGAATAGAACTTAGAAAGTCTCAACTACTAATCTTTTTTATAACAGGTCTCACACTATAGTTCAGGCTGGCCTCAAGGCCCCAGCACCTGGACTGCTGAGATTAATGAGCCTCCAGCCTTAATGATGATGATGATGATGATGATGATGATGATGATGATGATGATGATAATGAGCTGAGTTCAATCCCCAGAACCTACATCTTCAAAGGAAAAAAGCCAGCCGTGGTGTTCACTTACAATCTCAGCACAGAGGAGGTAAAAACCCTAGATTTTCTGAGGCTTGCTGGTCAGCCTGTCTAACCTTCCAGGACAGTGAGAGAGCTTGTCTCGTTTCCAAAAATAAATAAATAAATAAATAAGTAGACAATAGTTAAGGAACAACACCCAAGGCCTCCAGAGACACGTGCATACACATCCATGTGTACCTGTATACACACACACACACACACACACACACAAGAAAATTTCAGGACTTAAGAGAGCAAATGCTTTCAATAACTGTTACCAAAAATTTCCAAAGAATAATAGTTAACATCAAGAATAATCGAATATTCTGAAAAAGTTTTTTTTATAAAAATAACAAAACAAATATATACATAAACAGAATATCTACAAAATATATGCTGGCTCACAGTCATAGCTGTATGTGGTATATCCTCATTTGGATACTTTCCTTTAATTATTAATTTACCTGACCCTAACTGATTTTTATCTAAGAAATTTTATCATAAATATTCTCTGTAAAATGGCTTAAATCCATTGTATGGTGATGTACAAAATAACTGCCATTCAACCTACATACACTTGTATTTACATGTAAGAAAGAAAGTGTTCTTATAAAGGCAATCCTGCACAAACTTAAATTGTACTTATTCACAATTCATTAATACTATGAATGTGAAAGAAATAACCAAGTATTCAGATTATTCTAGCTGCTGTCACATCTGGAATAGTCATAGAAGATCTTTATCTGCTAGAAATGACAGTATTCAGTTTCTGCAGTTGGTGCAATTTTAGGTATTTTTTAAGTGCTGGGTCTTTACAGTTACAAAAATAATGTTATATTTTACAAAGCTGTCATAACTTAAAGGCATAAAGATGAGTATTTCTAACTAAAAGGTAGAATATAGTATGGGTTTTTTAATTTACTCTAAAACTTAACACACTGGAGAATACACACAGGATTCCACTAGAGTACTTTCTATTCTGGAGAAGAACTGGCTTTTCAAAGTATCCCATTTGGTTTGTGTTAGTGTGGTATGCAGCTGTATTATCTTACTGCTGCCCAACATGCAGGACATGTTCAAAGTATTTAGAAGGTGGAGGTTCCCATTTAATACTCAACAAGAGAGCCGTGATGGCGACCATGGTGAGAACAAGGACAAACTAGACGACTTACTCTGAAAAAGAAAGCTTACCAAACTAAAAGGACTGCTGCTTCCACGATGAACGCAATGTGCACTACAGAAGGGGGCGTTCACAAGCTAGCGCGTGTCTTACAAGGCAGATCCTGTTTTCCCAGAGCTTTGGAAACATGATGCGCCCATGAAGACTTTATTCAATTCCTGATCAGTCCCTCATAAGCTCACTTACACATTTCAGCTCCTAACGCGACCTGTTTACTCAAATCAGAGGAAACAGAGCTGTCTGCAGGAAACTCTCAGCAGTCTATTCATCCAGCATGACAAGGCTAGTGTCCAGGCACAGTGCTTAGCTACGCTTTAGGATGGAAAGAGAGGCAGAGGTGAGCATGCAAATCCTCTGAGGATGGGGCTGTAACTCTGGAGGATGCTGCAACTCTCACGTCTCCAAATGGAACCCATGGCCTGGCAAGCTAATGGGATAGGGAACAAATTCTAACCATGTCTACATCAAAAATCTAACAATGCACAAACTCTTGAGCTCTTCTGTTCCAATAATGATTGAATAGCAAAACAACATTTGAAGTGTAAAGAGATCACAAACCATACAGAGGGGCCTTGGAACTGGCCTTTCACTCCAGTTCTTAAATGCTAATGAATTAGTGTCAGGCACTAAGCTCTCATTCCATTTCACAGCATTTTCTTTGTATTACACATCATTTTGTGTTACAGCTAATGGGGATTTGATGCTATTCTCAAAAAATAAATAAATAAACTTATTGACTTGAAATAAACTCCTTGTTTTCAAAACTTGATGGGATTAAGTTAGAGACAGAGCCAGTTTGAAAGGACTGAGGAAATGCGAACCTCGAACAAAAAGAATGACTGGCCAAGCATGGTGGTGCAACCTGTAATCCAGCAAGTAGCAAGCCCCTGAGTCAGGTTTAAGAAGAACAAAAAAATGTGAGTGTAACTCCTTGAAATCCATTGAACATACAAAAACTCTTATATCAGTGAAGATACTCAAAAAAGAAAAACACTGCTTCCGTTAGCCTTCCACTGCTGTGACAAATATCCTTAGACAAATCTACCTGTAAGGACCGAAGGTTTATTTCGGCTCAGTTTCTAAAGTTTCAGCCCACGGCGAGTTGGCACCATCATTCTAAGGCTTATGGCAGTGGAACACATCATGGTGGGAAGAGCAAGGTAGAGCAGAGCTGCTTACCTCCTGGCAGCCAGGAAGCAAAGAGAGAAGAAGATGAGATCCCAAAACACCTTCAAGTGCAAGCCCTCCATAACCTAACTTGCTTCCACCAGGTCCCACATCCTGACCACTCACTCTCCTCCCCACATGCCACAGGCTGTAGACCAAATCTTTATACGTGGGCAGTTGGGGATATTTAAGGACCAAAACTTTTTTCTGTTAACACAGAAGGAAAAAAGAAAAAGAAAAGAAACAAGCATAACTATTAAGCTTTCTTCTGAACTGTGGTAAACGAAGTATTTATCCTGCATTTCACATTTTAAAACTATTTTATATTAACCAAGGAACCCACACTGATAAAAGAAAGCTCGAGAGTTGGCTCAGTTGAAGAGCAGCACTTGTGTCTCTTGCACAGGACTGGGGTTCAGTTCCCAGTGCCACAACAGCAGCTCAGAACCACCTGTAACTCCAGTGCCAGGGGATCTGACATCTTCTGACCTGCACTCACCACAGACACAAGGTGGGCGCACTTACATACAAGCAGGCAGAACACTCACACTTACATACATGCAGGCAGAACACTCGCACACAAAATAAATCTTTGGTTAAAAGCATTTAAATACCATGTCAGGATGCACAGTTTCAGTGCTGTGAACACGAGCACATCACCAAAAAAAAACAACAAAAAAAAAAAAAACGTAATACTGAACTACATGCTTAAAAATGATCAAGACAGTAAGCTTGTGTATTTTGACTCATTTTTTAAAAATTCTGTGTTATAACCTTTTGCTAATTCCAGTAAGATATGATTCTGATTAAAAAAGAAGAAAAAAACTACCAAAGAGTACTATATTAGGTAGAAGTTGGATAAAGAACTAGACCACTTATGTATTGCCAAAATTTCACTCTTCCCAGATGACACACTGATATCAAAAGGAAAAACATGATTTCACAATGGGAAAATCTATCATCACCTAAATCAATCCTAGCTTTGTTAATAAGGATTGGCACGGCTCCTACTATGATGCACTGTGTCTGGTTATTAAACACTCTACTAAAATGTTTATTCTGAATTCAATCAATTCTTCAGATAGACTTTTACTTGACAAAAATATAGGCTATAGAAGAATGACTTAAATACAACATAAAAACAATAAAACCAATTCAGAAAAAGGAAGTTTTAGAAGAGGTTGGATGACATCACATCTTTCTAACAAGTCCCCGTCATGAAGAGGTAATGAACTAGAGGGGGGCTAAACTACTGCAAACTAAAGATACTAGATGGCAAAGGCATGTCTAAATGAGGGAGGCGCTCCTTTGTGGAATCCTGGTTTAATAATACACTCTAAAAGACATCACGGGAATGGCTGGAGATATTTAAATATACCATAAACTTGATAATATTAGAGGATTTCTGCCAATTAATGGCTATAAAAATAGCAGTGCTCTGATGAAATGTAAAATTCCCTTTTTCACAAATACATAATGTCAGGATGAAGGGCTCTCAGTTCCGTAATTTAAATTACTTGAGTGAAAAATACACATGAAAGTAATGTAATCACATAATGTATCCAGGCAATTAGTAATCTATCCATGGCTGCTAAAAACCATCAAGTAAAAGCCTGATGGAAATTCTCAAATATCTGGTTGAATCCCTGATCCATCCTCATCCCAAAGACAGCCAGCCACAAGATCATCTTTTGTTTTCACAATGATTTGTGCATAGGTGCTGTGTTGTGTGACTGCACATACCACAGTCCATGTGTGAGGGGCAAAGGAAAACTCCCACCAAATAGATCCCAGGCACTGAACTCAGGTCATCAGGCTTGGGGACAAACCACATCACTAGCCCTACTACAGTATCTCCTAATGAGAAGCAATAAAAAATAAATGCAAGAATGAAGGACTCTAACACACAGACACACACAGACACAGACACACACACACACACACACACACACACACTCCCCCCCCACAAACCAACCTTGAATCTTACTAAGTCTCTGCCACTCTTTATAGGAAAGCAAAAGACACAAACATACTAAACCATTGCCACAGGCATTGATGCAATCAAGAAAATAGAAGAGACAGAAATTGCCATAGAACAAAGGAGTTCCAACAAACAAACTGAAGAAAAAAGAAATAAGCCACATATTAAAATATTCCAAGGCCATCCAGGCATGGTGGCGCACACCTTTAATCCCAGCAGTTGCGAGGCAGAGGCAGGCAGATCGCTCCGGGTTTGAGGCCAGCCTGGTCTACAGAGTAAGTTCCAGGATAGCCAGGAATACACAGAGAAACCTTGTCTCAAAAAAAAAAAAAAAAAAAAGGCCACAGCAATCAATATAAATGTTACTCAGAGGCCAATTTGAATAACAACAAGACTTAAGAAGAAAGCAACTAGAAACTAGACAAATATGAATCCTAAATATCTGATAACATTAAAGAAAGCTTTTTAGATGTAGGGGTTGGTTTTTGTTTTGAGTTTGAGTGGTTTAGGGCTTTGTGCTGCCTCTTTGCTTTGCTTTCTGAGCTAGGCTCTCTCTCATCTCACTAAGTAGCTCTGCTGGCCTGAAACTCACTGTGTAGTCCACACTGGCCTAACACCCACGGAGATCAGTCTGCCTCTGCCTCCCAAGTGTTGGGATTAAAGTCAAGCTTTTTAGATGGAATCATGGAATTGTGTTTTGATTTTCTTTTTTTTAGGTGTTTATCTATCACAGATGAAAAAAAAAAAAGGAAAGAAAAGAAAAGCCATACAGTGGTAGAGCACACCTTTAATCCCAGTACTCAGGAGGCAGAGGCCGGTGGATCTCTGTGAGTTCAAGGCCAGGCTGGTCTACCAAGCGAGTTCCAGAACAGCCAGAACTGTTACAGAGAAACCCTGTCCTGAGCGTGCAGGGAGGGGGGGGGGCTGGTATTGGCTTTAAGATAATCCAGCACAGGGCTGGAGAAGTGACACAGCGGTTAAAATCCCTTGCTGCTCTTTGAGTTTCATTTCCAGCAGCCACATCAGGTAGCTCACAACTGCCTGTAACTCCAGAAGACACCTTCTGGCATCTGAGAACATCCATACACATTTAAACACACGAGTAAATAAAAAGAAATATTGGTTTATTTGGGGTTTTTTTATTTTCTGTTTTGGGGTGGGGGGGTGTGGGAGTGGGGGGGTGTGGGTGTATGTGTGTTAAGATAATCTGGTACAGAACTAGGGAAAGACACATGGGTTTAGATGCTACACAAAAGAAACTAGATTATTCATTATATTGACAATCAGATGAAAAATGGTATGTGAGATTCATTCTTCAACGCTTGTATACGATTCTATTATTAAAAAGTACTTGTTTGAAAATGAAATACAGTAGAAAGCATAGTTACATCATCTTCGTCTATCATATAATTCCCTTCACCTGCTACCTAAAATGAGACAACCAAATAAATAATAGAACTAGCAAAAAATATCAGATGCCTTGATAAAAGAGAGAAGAAGGAAGTACTCTGTGCCACAAGTCTGACAACAAACAGGGAGATTCATGGAGAGCAGTAGAGTCCCATCCCCAACTCAGAAACGGACTAAGCCTCAGGAGACAGTGAGGGATGAAGGCACGGATCTCCATTACTTTACTGTCTTCTCTACTTCTGTATCTGCAACGTTCCGGTAAAAGAAACAGGGTTGGGGAGGAAGGAAGGGAGGAAAGGAAGAGGGGGGAGGGGGGAAGGGGAGGGAGGGGGGGGAGGGAGGTTGGTTGGTTACGAACGCCCTTCAGAGGCTCACTGCAGAGCACATTTATTGGATTTCCTCACACATCTCGGTTGCTCTCTAACTTGTCACCTTCCCACTTTAATCCTTTTCCTTCCCACTGGCAAGAAAGAAGAGGGGAAAAGTAATTAAGGACACTTCCTTTGTGGGTGGGAAATGTAAGCAACAAAACTAGACCGTTCCTGTCATCATGGGAGAAAAACCAAGACTGCAGGCCAGGTTTGTGGTCCACAGGACTATTAAGGCAGCTGTGTTTCTCCTGTTTTTCGAAAGCAAAGCTAGACTAGAAACTCTTACATAATCTGTATCTCGATGTGGTTCTTCAGATTACCTTCTCAAACCTGTAAGTGGTTCCATCTGTTTCTATAGGAAGTTTGGGTTAGGCTGACTTCAGAAAATGAGAGAAGGAACCTCAGCATCCCTACAACTGGTTTTGGTACACTGCCAGAGTGATATTAGAAAATAACAACCAGAGGGCTGGAGAGAGGGCTCGGCAATTGAGAGGACCGGCTGCTCTTCCAGCGGACCCCGATTTGAGTCACGGCGCCCACGCTGCAGCTCGCAACTGTCTTTAACTCCAGTCCCGGGGTTTCAACACCATCTTCTGGCCTCCACAGACACCGACTGCACGGGACATTCAGATACACATGCAGTCAAAACACCCACACACATAAAAGTTTAAAAAAAAAAAAAAAACTGGGACTGGAGAGAGCTCAACATGGAAGAAACTGCTCTTCCCCAGGACCTGGGTTCCATCCCCAGCACCCACGCAGCAGCTAACAACCTGCTCTAACTACAGTTCCAGAGGATCTGCCGCCCTCTTCTGGCCTCCACAGGCATCAACCATGTATGTGGTGCAGAAACATACATGCAGGCAAAACACTCATACTCCAATCATCACCATCATCATCACCATCATCTCAAATTTTTAAATAAAATATAAAACAAAATATTGATGAGAAAAAGGGACCTGGAAACTGTTTTTTTTTTTCCAAGCTTCTGCTTGTTCCTACCAACCCCAGAGGGACAGAGGGACAGAGCACCCCGCAGGGGTGAGAATGGCACCGTCACTTCAAACAGGCAACTGGAAGGAAAGGGAACCAACCTGTAAGTTAGAGGAAGTCTGAGAGAACCCTGTGGGCCTAATGTGGATTCTAATTCAAACGCACACAATAAAAACAGCCAGGCGTGGTGGCACACCTGTAATCCCAGCTCTCAGGCTCGATATCTCAAGGTATCTCACTTTCAGCATAGCTGGCAATACTTTCTGAATAACATACTGCTCAAGACCACTAACTCTGTGATGTGACTGAGATGTTTCCTCTGCTGACAGCTACTCCTAGCCCTGCCACACAGTGCCCAGTCTCAGTTGCTATCCACATCTTCATACCTTCAAAATCAGTAACACCTGGTGACTCTTACACTACCAAATTTGGCTGCCAGCATGAGATGCAGCCTTGGTTCCTTCTGTATGGCTGGCCGTAAGGAAATACTCCCAGGTTTATGATCCCCAATGATGATGCTGGTCTTTTGTTTTTGTTTATTTATTTTTGTTTTTCAAGACAGGGTTTGTGTGGCCCTGGCTGTCCTGGAACTTGCCGTGTAGACCAGGCTGGCCTTGAACTCAGATATTTGCCTGCCTCTGCCTCTTGAGTGCTGGGATTAAAGGTGTGCACCACAACTGCCTGGCATGATGCTGGTCTCTTCTTAATCACTGCTATTTTCTCAGCTCCACTAACCAGCATCACATGTCCCAGTAAAACCAACGTTTCACAAATCTTTGTCACCCGCCAGTCCCACAGCCGCTCAGACCCAACCAAGTAAACACAGAGACTTACATTGCTTACAAACTGTATGGCTGTGGCAGGCTTCTTGCTAACTGTTCTTGTAGCTTAAATTAATCCATTTCCACAAATCTATACCCTGCCATGCGGCTCGTGGCTTACCGGCATCTTTTCATGCTGCTTGTCCTGGCAGCGGCTGGCTGTGATGCCTTCTGCCTTCCTGTTCTTTCTTTTCTCCTCTCTGTTAGTCCCACCTATACTTCCTGCCTAGCCACTGGCCAATCAGTGTTTTATTTATTGACCAATCAGAGCAACACATTTGCCATACAGACCATCCCACAGCAATCACTAATCAAGAAAATGTCCCACAGGCCAATCTGGTGGGGGGCATTTTCTCAATTGATGTTCTCTCTTCCCAAATGACTCTAGCCTGTGTCAAGTTCACATAAAAACTAGTCAACACAGCAAGGAAAGCCCCTTCATTTGTCCTTGCTGGGGATTGGTGGACAGCTGACACATATCTATCCAATGAGAACTGGGAAAACTCCATTGGCAACGTTAGGGAGAGAATTTTTCTGTATGATCAACACCAAAGACAATGCATTTCCTTCTTTTAAATGTCAGCATGTAATGCGCAATGCATGTAAAGTGACTAACACCTGGGAGTTAAGGAAGCATTTTTTGCTTACCAGCCTATGGACAAAAAGCCTATATACTGATGATTGTGTATATATATATATTATGACAGGATCTAGAATCAGCTAGAAGATGAACATGTGTGCAAAGGAAATTCTAAATAGTTCATAGAGATGAGAAGATCCATCCTCGATGTGGGCAGCATCAATCTACAGGCTGAGATCTTAGACCGCACAGAAAGGAGAAAGTAAGCTAAGCAGAAGCATGCATCGCTCTCAAAATGCACCTTTCCTTTCTTAATAAAAACTTTAAGAATTTTAAATGACTTCAGGAGTTGAGAGCACTGCTGCCTTCCAGGGGGCCCACGTTCAATTCTCAAAACCCACAAGGCAGCTCACAACCATCTAATTCATTCCATGCGGTCTGGTGCCTTCTTCTGACTTCTACAGATACCAAGTATGCATGTAGTGTATGGGAATACATGCAGGCAAAACACCCATATACATAATAAAATAAAAATTTTAAAAACTAAAGAATTTTGAAAGGAAGAGGGAGAACCTTGTTTTAAAAAAGAGAGAGAGTAGAAGAGCCAGTGAGGTAGCCCTGGTAAAAAGCCCTTTCCATGAGCCTGACAATGCACACTCAAGCCTCTGAACTGAAGGGGGAAGGAAAGGCCTCCTGAAAGCTGTCCTCAGATCCTCAAATGCATGCTGTGACACCTGAGTGTCTATTTTGTCTGTCTGTCTGTCTCTGTCTCTCTCTTACACACAAACACACCACTAATAATAATAATAATGGTAATAATAAATTTTAAATCAGGAGAGAAATGGGGGAGGAGCAAACATGGTACAGATAGCACAAACTTTTGTGGAAGTCACTCCAGGATAGTGTTTATATTGAAGTGTTTTCAAGGAAATTTTAATCAGAGAAACTCAACAACTCATTTCTAACAAAGTCTGTCTTGTTCATCTACTTTCAAACACTGCAATGTACACAACTTATGAGGTTTCCCTACAGACTTCTACGAAATCTACATAGCCAAAGGAAATTAAATCAGTACCTCAACCTGACATCTGTGGGCCAGGCAGGAGATGGCTCAGCGGGTAAAGGCACCTGCTGCCAAGCCTAAGCAACTGAGTTTAACCCCTGGAGCCCCAGTGGTGGAGGAGGGACTGACCTTTACATACACGCTGCAGTCCACACGTACAGAAAACAAAACCACTATTCCCAACAACCAAGAGTAAGTAAGGAAACTACCGGGAATAATATGCTGTATTATTTTCAAAAGCTTAAAGAACAGAACTTAAATGCTTCACTATAAAGAAATGTTTGGGACAGATATACCGAACACAACTCCAATATTACACAATGTACACATATCAAAACAGCACAGGAAAACTCACAATGTGTACAATCCTTACAGAACTTTCTGAGGTTGGTTTTGTTTTGTCATGAGACAGAATCCCATGTCTGGAATTCACGATCCTCCTGTCTCCACAGGATGTGGGATGTGCAACCACCACTTGGTTCATGTAGTGCTGAGGACTGAACCCAGAACAACATACATGTTAGGCAGACACTACCAACACAGCTACATACACAGCCCAATTCTTATGTTCTTATGTGTCCATTAAAAAATAAACTCTAATGCTGGGCATGGTGGTACACACTTTTAACCTTAGCACTGAGGGAAGTTCAAGCCCAGCATGGTCTACACAGCAAGCTTCAGGGTAAAGGATGTATGTTTATCTCAAAAGTAATTATAATAATACATTTTAAAATAAAAACTTCAGTGGGAGCCAGGCAGTAGTGCCACATGCCTTTAATCCAAGCATTTGGGAAGCAGCAGCAGGTGGACTTCTGTGAGTCTGAGGCTAGCCTGGTCTATAGAAAGAGTTCCAGTGTAGCCAGGGCTACCCAGTGAAACCCTGTCTCGAAGAAAAAAAAAAAACAGGAGGAGGAAGAGAAGGAGGAGGAACAGAGGAGAAGAAAACCTTTATATAGGAAAAGAGATGGTCAATGTTAAGATTCCAGTCAACACCAAACTGTTTCCCACTCAACTATTTTTCCAAAGTTGCTATAATGATGCCATGAAAACTTTATCAAATATTGTACCAAAATCTTTCGTCTATTTTTTTTTATAAGAAAGGACATTTTCAAATCACCTTTACTACAAAGATAAATTAACAATTCACAAATATGAGTTAGGACTATCTTCACCACCTCCAAGCCACTGCTGAGAAAGCAGACCCTAGAAGCAATGCCCTAACCCAGTGCTGTCCTCAGGATTCAGTGCACTGAGACTGGACCGTGGGGCTACAGTCACCTCCTACCTTCTTCTTTCCCGAGACAGCAGGAGACAGCATCTAATGACCTGGTGTATGGAAACTCTAAAGACTCCGGACAAACTTCTGTGCAAGTCTGCAGCACTGGCCAACCACAGCCAATGCTCCAGTAATGCACTTGCCACTCCAAGGCACTCAACTGAAAACCAGTTCTCATCATCCGCTGGTACCTTTAACTACTGCCCTCGCCAGGCAGGGTCTTTGTGACTTTCCAACATTCCAGATGGACTCCACATTCCATTCCAGAGGCGGGGGTGGGGACAAGAGAGGGCAAAGGGGGAGGGGACAAAGATGTATATCATGTTTCTCTTGAATACAGAATTTTGATTTGAAAATTATATGTAACTAGGTCATAATTACACACACACACACACACACACACACACACACACACACACACAGAAAGGTAGAAGGGAAAATAGTTGAGAAACAGAAAGGCCTAGGTTGGGGAGAGGAAGAGAGAGGGAAGGAAGGTAGTAGGAAGTCCAAGTACGTGATGTATTGAATGCAGACAATATATGGTCAAGGTGCTTGAACAGAAGTGTCTACAAAATCCATGACACTGCACAATCAATGCAGCTAACTATTTTCTACAGCGGAAGATGAAGGGAAGTGGGAAGAAGAACAATATACGATGATGATATATGTGTATGAAATCTATTACCTTATATGTGAACTAAAAACAATCTACTCTAAAGGTTGGGTCCATGTAATCGCAGCATTTATGAGGCCGAGGCAGAAGAATTATGAGTGAAAGGCCAGCCTAAACCACACACTGAGACCCGGGCTCACAAAAAGATAGACGCAAAAGCAGACACTGCTGGGCACCAACAGCTCCCTGCACACTTGCACAGTTCCCCTTCCCAGGCATAACTCACACCAGCCACAGAACGTGAGCGGACTCTCCTCAACGGCTTTCAGGCTGCTAGATGAAAACTCTCCTCCAGCGATCAAAGTATCTCCTGCTGCAATAAGTGGTGCTGGCTTTTCCCACCAGAGGGTGGGAGGGCTGCAAATACAAACAGCTGACATATTCTTCGGGAGGAGAATACAGGACGGCATTTAGAACAGAAGGCTCTAGAACTAAACAGCCTAGGTTCAAAGCCAGGCTCTGTCTTTAGTTAAGAGAATGACCCCAAGCATTCTTAATTCTGTTACGTTCCTGAGACTTGAAGGGCCTCAATTTTCTCACAGGATTCCGCCTACAAAAATAAATTTCAGCCACACTGTGTTACTAAAGGGCTCCATAGTAAACACAAGTCTTAGTGCCAGGCCAGGGACACAGGAAGATCAAGCAAGGCCATCTGATATCAGTTATGAGCCAATGCCTTTCCTAAGAGACTGGTTCCACGGAACTTAAAGTGTACACTAACATAATGAAGCTCACGGATGAGATAAGGAAAGCAGTGCAGCATCGGACAGGGCCAGCTGTGGCTACGCTCCCAATGCCTGCCTCATTTCTAAGCCCCAAACACGGTCAATGTTTTAAGTCGTGTACTGTTCCCCAAACTGCTAGTCAAAGATAACAATTCTGCCAACAGAAAGAAAAGTATCTCATTTCTTTTAGTTCTCACACAAACCACAGAACATCAAAGGGCAGAAGGGAAGAAAGGAAAAAAAAAATGAAATAAAATCTAAAATAAACACAAGTTGGAGCCAGGGGGAATATGTATATATATAAACATAACCTTAAGAATACACTAACAGGCAGGCAGCGGTGGCGCACGCCTTTAATCCCAGCACTCGAGAGGCAGAGCCAGACAGATCTCTGTGAGTTCGAGGCCAGCCTGGTCTACAGAGCAAGATCCAGGACAGGCACCAAAACTACACAAAGAAACCCTGTCTCGGAAAATAAAAAAAATAAAAAAAAGAATACACTGGGCAGGGGTGGTAATTTGGCCAGGATGCAATAGATTTGAGAAGAATAATTTAAAAAGAATGCACTAACAGCCAGGGATAGTGGTGCACACTTTTGATCCCAGCACTTCAGAGATAGAAACAAGAGGATCTCAGTGAGTTTGAGGCCACCCTGGGCTACATAGTAAGCATAGTAAGTTCCAGACCAGCCGGAGGTACATAGAGACCCTGTCTCAAAGAGAAAACTACACTACAATTAGATCTCTACTGCTCTGTCTTAGAGATCCTTCAGAATGCCTCTGTAACTGTTTACTTCCTGTGCTGTAGTCTGTCTCCTTACTAGTACTGGCTAAAGCATACACAATGCTATATTCACACAGATCTGCTTTCAGGGACAAGAACAATACTACTCAGATATTTATTTCAAACACATGACAACTAAATATGTTATCAATGAACTACTTTGTTCCTCAAAAAAGAATCAGTTAGGAACATGAACCCTAGACACCACATAGTACGTAGTACATAGCAGGATTCCCACATTGTTTACATAAGAAATTATATGATGTTTAGGATTTGCTTCAAAATATTACGGGTAGGTCGGCAGTGTGAGAGTCAGGGAACAGAGAGGAAATACGTATGAAACACTCCAGGCCAGCACTGCTAACTGCTGAAGCCGTGAGGGCCCAGGGACTCTCTGTTATTGTTCTCTCTACTCATGAACACACTGCAAACTTCCGAAACAGAACGCCAACAGGAAGCAGAGAAGGACGCGTCGGCCCATGTATAAAGTCCCAGCACTGGCGAAGTGGAAACAGGAGAACAAGGGGTTCAGAGCCAGTTTCAGCTGGGGACCAGCCTACACGACATGAGACATTCTCAAAAAAAGAGGCCTCACTTTTCCATAACTGATAATGTTATGGCAGGTACTACTTAAAATATATATATATATATATATATATATATATATATATATGGCTTCAAAAAATTCCATACACACAAAGAAAAAAGTCCTTTAAAAAGAACCTCTTGCACTGCGCAGGTCACAGATCCACAGAATGGGCTAGAATCAACCCTTCGTAACTCACGCTCATAGCACCAAGGATGAGGGTAAACTGGCATCGCGCAGGCAGAGGCCACATCTGCACTGCACACGCACCAAAGCGACAGCCCTTTTCAGGGCTGCAGAAGTTACAAATGCCCTCCATAGAACTCATTCTGCTTCCTGTTTCAAGGTGGGGGGCACTCAGGGAGAAACCAGTGTTTGCACATTCCCGTATGTGCCTAATCTAAAACAGACATGCTTGGCATTAGGAAAATAAAGACATGAGCTTCACTGATGTTAATGGCCATGATCTAAAAAACAGTTCTGGCTACAAGTGCATAGGGAAATCCTGATTTCTTCTTTAGACAGGCTCAAGTCATTACTTGACGCTCTTAACTTGTCCCACACACAATTTTTATCTACTTTACGGAGGAGAGAAGTTTTTCTTTTCTTCATTGAGAGAAGTGAACAACAAGGAAACTTCTCCAGAGACACATCCATTCAGCTGCTTTTCTTTCTACTGCAGAAGGATTAAGCAGAGGGTACCAGGAAGCAGCGCAAGAGTGTCATAGTAAATACAGGCTCCCAAAGCCTCGGCTGACTAGGAACACTGTCTAGCTACAACCAGGGCCACGTCTGCTTTTCCAACACTTCTGAAAGCACTTGGCATGGTTTTCCAATAACCCTCACTGCACTAGACTTCCTTGTTTTTTCAGTAGTATTTCAAAACCTTGACACATTTATTGAGCTATTTTTGGAAGACCTCGGTCTGTCTACCTTCAGGGCTCATGATGTAAATATATAAAAGCTACAGGACATCCCTTTAGCTACAAAACTTGGCAGGCTTCCTGGGTCTCCAAGAAAAGTCCAATTAGCTACTTTCCGAACAGCAAGAGTACAATGGAGAAGGGACCGCTGTAAACCCAGGAGACTGGCCATGCCTGCCGCCGCTCCATTTCTCAACTGCTGAGTGACCTCCATTTAACCTCTTCCTGGCTTGCTTTTCTCACCTGTCACATCTACTCAACAGAACTTTAAAAAAAAAATAAAATAAATTCCTAAAGCCCAATGACAAAATGTTCTAAGGATTTCTGTTGGGGAAAAAAAAAAGCTAAATTTAAAATTAATAGACACTAAAGAAAAGAATAAAAGAAGCAAGGTGTGTACTCCTATAATCCCAGCACTAAGAAGACCAAGCCAGAGATTTGGGCTTCATAGGAAGTCCTTATGGGCAGGAGGGAAGGGGAACACTTAGAAGTCTGTCCCAGTCAGCACGGAACCTTACACTGCTACCAAGAGAAAAAAAGGACTGCATGGAAGCACAGCCAAAGAAATCTGTCTCGGAACCTCCCCTATGTGATTTTTTTTTTTTTTTTGGAAGGGTTCTGTTTTTATCTAAGCAGGGGTGTCAAGTAGCCAAAGCTAACCTCGAAGACACTGTGAAGCAGAAGATGAACTGGAACTCTGCCTCCATCTTCTCATTCCTGAGGGAGGGAATGACAGGCACGCACCACCATGCCCCGGAGAATCCAGGGCTTCACCAGGCAAGCACTCTACCCCTGGGCTATATCCCCGGCCCTGCAGTGTACTTCTGACTTCAGTAATTTGTACACCTTTTAGACTTTCCCCAAATCCTGTATTAACTGTTGAATGCTTGTCTTTAAGTCACTGTAAAATGTGCATCCGCTTCCTCGTAAGGCTTAAGTAACAGCAAGGAAGTAAGAGCTGCAGGACAGCTGTACATTTTTCCGGTGCACATCTGCATAGACAATCAAAGGTTAAAGAAAATTCTTCTGTGTAACACCTCAGTCACTTAGCATGCCACCACACTTCAAGGAGACACCTGCACTATCTTCTCCAGACGATACAGAATACAGGCTCTAAATTTATAAACCTCTGAAACCCACTGGTCAACTTAACAGGAACCACGCATTTGTGGCTATTAGTTCTTCCTAGATGCCTGGACCATACAGCCCCTCCCACAACTTTACTTAGAATCCCTTTTGCTTATCAACATCTCCAAACTCCATTCACAAACATCCTTACCATCCTTATTCCCATTACTGTAAAACCTCCTACTACTTACATCCGACCTAGCAATGAAGAGTCTCACTCTACAGTACAGCTGTTCTAACGCCCAGATTTACTTTATTTTATTCAGATTTATGTATGGCATTATGTGTCCATTTAAAAGCAGGCAAATGAAGAATGTACTATTCTAAAATAAGACTCTCATTTCTGAAAGGTTCATATTCACCAAATCTGTTGCCACTGTGTTTTGTT